CCTTGTTTTGTACTGCAAATAAATTAAAATAAATAAAAATAAAAAATAAATTAATAAATAAATGTCAAGAGTTAATTTAAATATTTGAGCATTTAATTCGTTTTTGTGTATAGATGTAGAACATCAATTATTTACTATACTACTTTTCACACTCACTCACTCAGCAAATTTGAGCTACACTAACTACACTGAACTATAGTATCAATATTGAATACACAAGCAATGGACCCTGGCTGCACTCACTCTTATTCTTACTTAATGCTTGTAGCTTAGTACGAGTTAGAGTAAGTAAGCGTAGGTAAGAGCAAATCTCAGACGAAGCCGCTGCCGAAGTCTGCTGATAATAGAGCAGGAATAAATGGAACATGCTTACATTTTATGGGTGAAAAATCATATAAATGAATAATAATCACATGATGCAAGCATAGGAGACATTCTCTAGGTGTAAATATAGAAAGGTTTCTAAAGACCTTTAACAATTCCCATAATAATATTAGCTCTTATCTCTTCTGTGCTCACACACCTACATCCACTTGCTCGATCTACTCATTACCTATGTGCACCACTACCTTAAAAACGTCGTTTCCCAGTATCTAGCTATATCTCAACTCTCATGTAATCACACACATACATATTATTTTGCTTAAGCCACTCATAACCTATGTAGGCTGCCTAATTATATCTCTACTCTCTTATATGATCATCCCACTCGTATATCAACTTTCTCGATCCACTCGTTACCTATGTGCACCGCTGGCTTAAAGATGTCGTGGCCCAGTTTGATGAAGACCGTTGCGTTCTGGGACATCCACTCGGACATGTGGGTCAGATTCAGCGCCTGCGTGACATTGTTGATCATGAATTCCCTCAGCTTGGGGTCCTCGCCGTAGCGATAGACATCGTTGATATGAACACGACGCTGGGTGTTGTAGAGGAATACGCCTCCAGTGTACTTCTCGATCACTTCCTGGATGCTCTGATCCATGGCCTGGAGCCATTTGCCATCGTAGAGCAGCCTGGCCACCTTGGCGGCCGCGTGGGCGATGCTGCTGTAGCCCTCGTGATCCACGATGCCCAGCTGCAGCAGGTAGGGTGCATAGGAGAGGGTGCTGTCCAGGGGCGAGGTCCACGGATTGCCAACGACAACCGAATGCAGTTGACACTCGAGAATGCTACGCTGCTTGGCCAGCTGCAGCTCGAGCGCGAATTCTGGCGCCATTTTGCCGCCATAGCTCTCGGAGAAGATGTGCAGCGGCATGCGCCGAAATTCCGGATGACTGTGCAGGAAGGCACGCATCAGCTTGACCAGATCTTTGGCTATTTGATTGTTGTGCTTGGCATAGTGACCGTGCGGCTCCACGTAGCTGTAGCCCGTGCCCACTGGGCTATCGATGAACAGCACATTGAAATGCTGCACCCAGTTGCTGGCACGCGGCTTGCCCTCGATGTCGACGGGGCCCAGCTGCTCAAAGCAGCCGCAGCCAGACGAGGCGACACCGGGCCCGCCCTGCAGCCAAATGACCAGCGGACGTTCCGTATACGAGCTCACATTCGCTGTGGTATAGTGCAGCCAGTAGAAGAGGTGCGCGCCCTCTCGCACCTCCACATAGGCCCAGTCCTGTTCGCCGGCACCGAAGCCACGACGAGCTGACAATAGGTAATGCAAGATGTAGAGAGAGATAGATAGAGAGAGAGAGAGGTATACTGGAGTACCTTGCAGCCAGCCCAGAGATTGCAGCAGCAGGAGCAGCAGCAGCGGCAGCCTGTGGCAGTTGCTCATCACTAGTATTGCCACGCCCACACGAGAAGTATCACAATTTACCAGCGGACGAACTGTTTCGTTCTATAACCAAGTGCGCACTGAATATGGACGTGCAGCGTTGATTTTCTTCAATACTCAATTGGCTATTTATAAATTGAAAAACTGTTTTCAATCACATAAACAAAAAAGAGGTGAACTTTATGGAGAACATAAAAATTCTTTTGTTGCGCTCCCAGAGATACCGTGTAAATGGGCCACTTGATGCAATGAGGTATACAAGTGGCGAAAGGAAGTAGAGCGAGAGAGAGAGAGAGAGAGAGCGTGACAGCGAAAGGGGTGAAGAAGGGAAAGATAGTGTGTAGAGAGAGAGAAAAAAGATATATATGATCTCTAATCTAACCTCTGCATATAAATTACATATTTAAGTTTCTCTTAAATAACATATAGCAGATTTAGATCAACAGCTAAATAGAAATAAATATTTGTGTATTATTTTATTTTATTTTTTTTTATTTATACATATATCTCAGTTGTAAAGCCAGAGGCAATCTCTGTATAGAATTAAATTTGTAGCATAAGCTTTGTGTGATTATTGAAAAGTATTCAAGGGAAATAAAGCGGAACAAAAACATATATAAATAGTATTTTTTTTTATACTTTTCCAAATTTCATTGCATGTATTTTAGTTAGATTGATGTTGATTTCTATATATTTATTTAAAGAGCATTTGCTAGTCGTACAGTCTCTACTTGTTGCAATCTATTAAGAGATCATTTATTAGTTGTTTATTCTCAGCAATTGGCGCAATTTTGTCGGCTTAATTCTCTCTCTTTCTCTCTCTCTCTCTCTCCTTCTCTCTGCCTCTCTCTCTTTCTCTCTATTGATTTGCTATAACTAAATTGCTAGCATAAATATTTATGTGAAGTGTGCGCGCCGTTTGTCATTCTTTCGTTTTCATTTTTTTCGTTCAGTGGAACAAGCCTTACGAATCTGGAATATAGACTTCATTGTAGCGCCACTTAATTAGGTCAATGATCTTGTGCAGCCTGTATAACTAGATTAGGAAATATGTTGCAGCATATGGGAAATGCAAAATAGTTTAATCTCTTCAACTGAAGTTCTCAAGATTTATTTGCTTATATTTGTGTCCTCTTCTTCTTCAACGATAGCAAATTGAATTCAATGAATACGATTAACAATTGATTAGCTTAATTCATAATGCTGCCATAGTATCAAACTGATTAATTTGTCCAACTCGAATGCTGGCTGATCATCAACAACTAATTAGTGAATACTTACATCAAATTCGTAATCGAATAACAATTATGCATGGCAGGCGCTGGAGAGAAACAAGTGGAGGATGCTTAAGTGGGTGGGCGTGGCAAATGAATTTCCCGCGTTGGTTTTTCCCCAAGACTGCTGCGGCTCGTCACGTCAACGCACAAGTAATTTTCACACAACTTAACGCCACATATCGTGCATATTAATTATGGTCGGAGGCGGGTCCATGAGGCGGTGGCTCCTGCTCCTGCTGCTGCTGCTCTTGCTACTCCTGCTACTCCTGCTGCTGTTGCTGCTGCGTAAAATCCAATTTGGTAAGACGACCTATGCCATAGTCACGTAGATTGGCAAACGGGAGAGCCGCTCCAAAGAGCAGGCACATGCTAAATGTCATTTGCTCGAGCGCTCGAGGCATGCGGCCAATGCGTCTGCACGTATGGCGGCTCTACACTGGGCGAAAACAGATGTACGCCTGCTAATTGCAAATTATCCATTTCCAAATGAATACAAAGATAAATCAGCTGCAGTTTGATAAAGTATTTTTTTTTTTTTTAATAAGAAAAACAAAATTTACCTGAAATTTCATTTTCACGAAAATTAATTTGAATTTTCATTCAGCAAGCTTCAATATTTATTCAATTGTTAACTAAATTTAGTAAAATTGTTTAAGTACCTGGGAGTTTTCATTCTTCTCATCACAAAAAAGTTTGATTTGCGTAGAAAATTGCATTTGCGTTTGTAATAATTGTTTTTGTGTTTTCTTTGTTGTATTTCGTTAAGTGTGAGCTTACTACGAGCCTCTTATTCTTGTTGTTGTTGTTGTTGTTGTTTGGTTGCCACGTGTACAGATGGCATAGGCTATTGTAGCCATGTCAAGTATTTATAGGTAGAATGCCAGGATTTGGCGCGTCGAGGCCAAAAATGTTGGCTCAAAAATTGCTCATGTGAGCGAACGATGTCGCTTGGGTTCTCGGTCGGCTGTGCTTTCTTGGCCAGGGCCAAAAATAAATTAAATGCCAGCGCTAAACAAAGGCGAAATTCTTCATAAGAAAAATGCGACTTGCCAGCATGAAAGACAGGTGCTACACCTCTTCTTGCTGCTGCTGTTGTTGCTGCTGTTGCTATTGTTGCTGCTGCTGCTTGAACAGCCAACAACAAGAGGTTTCAAGCCAAACAAAGGCAAATGAATGAGCGTTAATTAGTAATCAGTCAAATGCACATGTTGCCAACTCCTTATTTATAACAAACACTTTAGCAGTTAGCCATGCAACGCCACTTCACTTTACATCAAGGCTTATGCCACCAGGAAACTCACTCGAATACCTGAGTTTTGAAGACTGTCATTAACACCTTTCTTTTTTAATGAGTTTGCCCGCCCGTCAAGAACTCTAAGAGAATTTTCGTTTCTTTATATAACTCATATATTACTACAGAGTAGACTAACCTGGCATTTATAGCTGCTAGACTTTCATATTCAGTCAAGCTCAAGCTAAACTCGGGTTTGTCTTCCAGTTTGATTTTGTCATACCATAACCTGTTTCCTATAACCTACATAAATCGTTATCTTACTCAGGCTGATCAGAACAGATTATTTTTGCCAATCGGCAAAGATTCAACTTTATAAAGTACTAATGTCATAGTAGAATGCAGATAAGATTTTTTATTTTTAAGTGTTCTTAATATTAAGTAACTAAACTCGATGAGGCAAATTCTCCAAATTTTTTTTTTTCATATTAAAAAAAAAAAAAAAAAAA